AATGCAAAATCTGAATTGTGATTGCATCCTCATCAAACTGAGTAATGTGAGTTCAAGTTGCTGTTTGAGCAGGCCATGATTCAGATCCTTTACTCAAGTAAAAATATTATGATAATAAAAGGACAAAAACTTAAATGTGTATCAAACACTACAATATTTGGTTATTACTGATGCATGACCTACAAAATCACCATTTGTACATCAGTCATACCGTGTTAACTTGAAATTGCGAAGAGAACTTTGCTTTTCTGGCAAATAAACAGATAACCCAAGTCTCCCTTGTCATATGCTCAGTGCTTCCCAAACACATGCATTTATCCATTCATTTTCTCTTCTGCTTATCCTGTTGGGGGTCATGGTGGGGAGGCAGGGTACACCCAGGACAGATCACCAGACTATCCCTGGGCTGACACATAGAGACAGACAACCATTCACACTCACATTCACACCTACGGACAATGTAGAGTCACCACTTTACCTGCATGTCTTTGGACTGTGGGAGGAAACTAGAGAATCCGGAGAAAAACCCACGCTAACATGCAAACTCTATACACAAGGGCTCCCCCATCCCTGGGGTTCGAACCAGAAATCCTCTTAATGTGAGGTGACAATGCTGACCACTGCACCACTGTGCCACCCTCAAACACTCTCTTAAGAACCAGACCCTGATACAAGAGTTTTTCAGTGAAATGTTTGATTTCCAAATGGTCATTTTGTGGATGAAGTATTCCTTTAGTTGACGATTCATTGATAGCAGAGTTATAGTGACCTCCTAATGGTAAGCAACAGGAAATCATGATGCACAGGCCTACTATATCAGTTCCTTAACTAAATCATCAGTCGTAATGGCTAAAGCATGTACTACGTAGCTGCACCTTTGCTGCATGTCACAGGCCTTTCTCCATAATTTCCTTTCCGTCTTTTTGCCGTGACTTGTCCAACAGAAGGGGAAAAAAATCCCCCAAAAATGTCATCATGAGTTATGCATTAGATAAATGTGTTTTTTCTTTGATTTAATCTCATTACATTATTAAATGTTCCTGATAAATGTGATTAATCCTCTTTAACATGTAATCTGTTTTTACTACATGGAAAGCAACACACTCAAACGTCTTCAGAGTTCATATTGCAGCACAAAACACCTGAGCAGGAACATGGATGACAGAACAGGTACCAGGTGCCACGACCAGCAGAGAGCTATGGTCCATAACACCAGAGACAATAATTAGAAATGAAATACATTTGAATGTTAACAGTATCACGTGTTGCACTACACCTTCATAAATGCAGACTGACATCATGTTTTGTCATTTCTATGTCGCTGGACTGTACATTCTGTACCAAAGGGCTGCTGTGTGTTGACTTTGTGCAACTCTGGGGACGCCGGCGTCCTCTACCGGCGTAACTGTCTTTCAGGGGCTGTAGCAGGCTGAGTTTTAAATCTAGAGTGAGGATACACGTGTCATATGGAGCTAGAAGGCAAAAAGGAATCTGTTGGTACCAGTGTCTGTAAGAATGTCAGCAAAGGCAAAGAAAAAAATGGCCATTTATCACAGGGGTCCTTTGACTTATCATCTCAAGATATCTGAATGAAAATGAGGGTACCCATGAGTCCCTTTACAGATATGCCCACTTTAAAATAGTCCCATACAGCTTTGCACAATAACCATGCATTTTTTGCATGCAGTAAATGTGTCATTTTCGCCTGCTGTATTTAAATTTTTCTGCATGCTGAGATGCCGATGTAGGATTACATGAATAGAGTCTGACTAGAGAGCTGAGACTGAGCGGATTCAATGAGCCCAATTTTATTCATGTAGGATAATGTTTGTCCCCATAGTAGCCATTTCACTGCAGTGAGACCACTTTTTAAAAACTTGAACTCACTGCATAAAATGACATAAAGTGACCTCTGGATAATCGAAGCCTCATCAATCTATATAGCCACAAACTACAGACCTGGAGTAATCAGAGGTAGGATGTATGGCTTTCATAGGTATATAGACAATAAGGGGGTCTCTCAGAAGCTTCTAGAACATAAGTGCTTACTATTCAGTCCTCAGAAAATGCAAGTTTCATAGAAATCTCCAAATTTCAAAGGTTTTTGATACCATATCACAGCATGGATTTTTTGTTATGGTGCTCCTCAAGGTCTTGTGTCTTAATGTGGCATTTTGGAGGGATTTGTGACCATTTTCAAGATTTATCAAGTGGTCAAAAATCAAAAATCAACCCCAAAATTGCTGCAACAACTTATGTAAAAAAAAAAGGTAACTGGTGTCATATACTTCCATCCAGTGGCGTTAGGAAGTTACAACAGGCCCCAGTGCACACTATTATGATGGGCCCAAGTGCACGCTGTTGTGTATGTATTGTCTTGATACAAGAAGAGACTTGATATTGGACAACATCAACATACATTCTACCCAGCAATCATTATTGCATGTCTGACAAAATATCAAAGAAAATAATAAATAAATAATTTAGTTGAATAGTTTTTATAGTATATTTATAGATTTTATAGCTTATGTAGAAAAAGCATGTCATCTTCAAAAAAATAAAAAAGTAAACCATGATGTAGACGGGTTTGCCTCTTTGAGGATATATATGTAGCAAATAGCAGATTTTAAATTAATATCAGTGTCTTATCACTCCTCTTTGAACACAGAAATATATTCAAGGTGGCAATCTGAATCACTTGCAAGGCCCACTGTGTTTACAGGCCCCTGTGCATCTACACTGCCTGTACTGTCTATACTTACTCCCCAGCTTTCAGATGACGTATACCACTGATAGCCTATGTGGCATCTACTGTTGACCTGCTATCTCCCCATGAACATCTTGTGCCCCCCTCCAAGAGTCATACATGGGTCTGAGGTGGGGAGGGGCACTCCAGTTTTCCAGCCCTTTGAGTCAGATGAAAATACTAACTGGATAAAATGTCACTGGATTTAGCACTGGTGATTGGTCTCAGTGAAAATGGAAATTTTAGGAAGAACTTTTGAAAAAAACATTTGACAGCAATTTGACATCATTTATTAGCTCAGCAGTTCAGCTGTGATCTCTGGAATAATTTCAATATAGCAATGTATAAAAAAGTTTCAACAGAAACTTTATCAAAATATAACATCTCAAATACCCAGATAACAGCTGGACATATTACAAACATACCGCACTGTTACAAGTGATTTAACATGTGGATGTTAAAATAACATTCACCTAGAGACACACATTTGGCAGGTGATTAGATGATCAGTGCTACTTGTGCTACACAGACCTGAGATCATTGAAAATCATCCTCCACCGTCATTCATAAAAACCACAAGGACTACATGGCTTCATTACCTCACCCCTCTATTACTTTACACTGTGCAGAGTTTCTATATGAATAGAATTCTACCTGACCCCTGATCCCTGTGTGGGAGTTTGATTAAATGGGAGGAAGGAATATGCAACACATAAGCACAAAACTGAAAAAATGAAGGTCTTAAAACTGGAGTCTGAACCTCAAGATCAGATCATAACTCCACTGTGAGGTAAACTAGAGTTTAAAACAGCTTGGGTCTTCTTTCTGTATTTTACCATTCATCTGTGATAGTAACATTTTATTTGCCAAGTTAAAGCTGACATCTGGGAACAGGGTGACATCACTACAGAGAAGTCATGACCATCAGACAGGTTGGAAACAGACTATTTTAGCATGTTTAAATTGGTGCTAATAATACTTCATTTCACAGGAAAAGTGTGTGAACACATCTACAGTAAATACAGTAGGTGACAGCTGGATCTTTACAACAAACACACTGGCTGATCATTTCACTGTTTGACTTGCCATCTTGTGGCTGTCTTGCTTCTAACCTGTCTGACTGCCCCAGATCACTGCTTTTCATCCTTACACTGATGGACAGAAGTACATTATAAAAACCCAAGCTGAAATGAGTATGTGCAATGAAGGGCATGTAGGTAGTGCAATACATTGATCTATATCACAGTACTGTAAAGCAGCACCGAGTATGGCTTACATAAAGTCTCTTCACTTCACTTCTCCACATTACTTAAAGGGAAACTTCCAGAACATTCCAGTCTTTAGGTTATTGTAGTTTTCTGCTGTGCTTCTGTGCTGAGAGTGGATTTTGTGTTCAACTGCAAGGATCTATAGAGAGCTCAAGTCCGACGCCACCTCCTGACTGGCCTCTGTAAGTCACTACAATCTCTCATTGATCCTTTATTCATTTATTCATCCTTCATGATTATTATTATTATTATTATTATATATTATAATCAAGAAAGTTAATGATTTATTAGTTAGCATTAAAAAAAACAAATGTCCCTTTCTAGACATATGGAGTGACCCACATCAGGGCAGATTTAGAGTCCTTTAGCTCTCTACAGTATACATACAGTCAGGTCCATAATTATTTGGACAATGATACAGTTGTCGTCATTTTGGCTCTGTACACCACCACAATGGGTTTTAAATGAAACAATGAATACCTGCTTAAAGTGCAGACTCTCAGCTTTCATTTAAGGCTTTTTTTCAAAAATGTAGTATGAACCTTGTAGGAATGACAACCATTTCTTCACACAGTCCCCCGACTTTTAGGGCTCATAAGTATTTGGACAAACTAACATAATCATCAATTAAACAGTCAGTTTTAATACTTGGTTGCAAATCCTTTATAGTCAATGACTGCCTGAAGTGTTGGACACATAGGCATCATCAGATGCTGGGTTTCTTCCCTGGTGATGCTCTGCCAGCCCTTTACTGCAGCCGTCTGCACTTCCTGCTTGTGTTTTGGGTGTTTTGCCCTCAGTTTTGGCTTCAGCAAGAGAAACGCATGCTCAGTTGGATTCAGGTCAGATGATATGACTTGGCCATTGCAGAGCATTCCACTTCTTTGCCTTAAAAATGTCTTTGGTTGCTTTTGCAATATGCTTCAGGTCAATGTCCATCTGCACTGTGAAGCATCATCCAATGAGTTTTGAAGCATTTAGTTGAATCTGAGCAGATAATGGTGCCCCAAACACTTCCAAAACTGTATCATTGTCCAAATAATTATGGACCTGACTGTACGTTTGTCATGTTTACACAGCAGTACTCAGATGTCTTTGAAGGCACAGAGCTGCACTCCCTCTTGGCTGTAGATGGCCAGTAGGGACGGGTCAGTGAGCACGTTCAGCTCATGCTGTCTGTCAGCCGACTGGGAGAAGTCATCCGGGCCCTCTCCACAGCCTCCTTCGTGGGGGTTACTGGGGTAACCCGGGTGGACCATAAGCTCTGCTGTGACCATGGGCTGACTGGAGCCTGATGCGCTGCTGGAGGTAGTGCTTGGAGAACCTGCAGCCAAGGCGTGGCTGAGGGCCCTCTGCAGGTTAGGGACGGACATGTTCTGGCCCATGGTGGTCAGTCCCAGGTACACGTCTGGCCATCTGTGGACATGCAATAGGTTTAGATCCTGATTAGTGTTTGTCAGCCAGAGACCAGGGGGAACCCTGCAGAGAATCAATCCATCCACTCACTACACACACGCACACTAACAAACACTCTGACACGCTCTTTGAAAATAAGGCCCCGATCACACAGAAAGCCTTTTAGCAGCTGAAGGAGGCTTTTTGTAATTGTTTTTAATGAGACTGAAGTTTTTTGCTAAGTTTTTGTGTGGCTATGTGCCTCACGTTTTTGACAGAGCACTCTGTGCTCCTCAAGTTGAAAAAACTACAACTCAGCGTGAAAAAGTGCCCCACATCATCTCTGCTTTTTCCCCACTGTCCAATCAGATGATTTGAGAGGCGGGCCTTCTGTGGTCGTCACATCAAAAAGATTACAGTTGGTAAACAATGGAGGAGAAACTAGTGGTAGCAGTTGCTGATACCCAGAGCTATACGACTTTACAACCTGCAGTGACCACCATCTCAACAGAAAACAACAGGCATGAAAGCACATAAGTACAGTACATGAAATAGCCATCATTGAGGTTAAGCTCCTGGACTAACAGGTGCTACTCCCCGTGATCCACCCTCTTTTTTAGGGTCTCATGTACACACACAAATGCGGGGTGCCTTGCGTTTTGAAACCTGCAAAGCACTTTCTGTGTGATCGGGGTTCTTCAACAATACTTTATAAGACTAAGGGTTCCATTCATAGACTGTATAAAAATGATGGACGACATGACAGCTCCCAAAAAGTGAAGCCAAAACACCTCAACTGCCCCCTAGTGGCCGGCTGCAGTATAGGTTCTAAACCCCGACCCCTCAATGTTAATAGATGGGACATGGGCCAAACTAAAAACTCAAAGTACACATTAAATAAAATTTTCCCAAAGATGGTTTCTATCAATAGACATCATTCTTACCACAGTGATGTGTGTTCAGGTTTTTCCCTATACGTTTGGTTTTACTTAGTTATTTGATGCTATAAAAAGGGGTGGGGGGTTGTTATCATAATTGACAACTGTGTGTGCCAATCGGTGTGTTCACAATCAGTGATGCTGCTCGCGATTGGTGGGATGGTGTATGGGCTGGAACTAAATATGGCAAAGATTTCTACTGTGCAGACTCTGGCTCTGAATGACATCACCAGCGCAAGATGGCATGGCCATATCCAGGATATTTTGCCTTTATTTTTGTACAGTGGGAAGAAGTGGAGACGCGTCATCCATCTTTATATACTATGACCCACAGCTGTGACTCATACGTGACGTGATATTTGCATATTATATGTGATACTGGTTGTATTCCTGACAAAAGTTTAAAGGTTTCATTCTGTTTATATTGCATGTTTTATTTGCATTGGTTTTAAGTACATTACTTGTAATTGTCTCTTTATTGATTACTTAAAGTCATATTGTTTTTAAGTGGCAAGGCAGCGCCTGAGTTACACCAGGGGCGCAATAAAGACAGTGCAGGCAGTGCGGTTGCATTGGGGCCTGTGAGGTGGGGGAGCCCATAGAGAGAGTGGGCCCTCCAACAATGTGTTGTGTGGGGAACGGGGCCTTATGAGTGATTGCCACCTTGGAAATATGCCTGTGTTCTAAGAAAAACTGTCATTAAATTAAAATAGTGCCATTTGTTATATATGCCCTTGAAAAAGGCAAATCTATCTCTGTCATGTTATTTTATCTTTTTCTGTAAAATAGTAAATAGCATCTATAACAAAATTATATGCTTAAGCTACTGTTACGGCTGT